GTTATCTTCCTTAACCATGAGAAGCCGTGGTCCCTCTGAGGAGGAGAGGCACGGCTGGCCTGGTGGCTGGTGTGATGGAAGGTACATAGATGTTTGCAACCATTTGGAAAGTACGACTGCCAGAGAGGAGGGAATCCTGTCAAGATGCCCCAGTTTGGGAAAAAGGGGACACACACAAATGAGCTCCCGCTTGTCCTTCTGTCCTCCCCACATATATGTACTCCCTTGCCTTCTCTTGACCCAATAGGTGTTTCCTAGGCTGTGCCCTGGAATAGCCAGGGTCACTGCCACTCCTGGAACCAGGGCAGCCCCCAAAAAGAAGAGGGAGATGATAATGGCCTCTCTCAGCATCCCAGACCTTGGTGGAGCCTGAACTCAGTTCTCTTCTATACACATTTATTGAGCCTGTATGGGCCGGGCACAGACCTATAGGGGTTAGGGAGACAGACACGGTTTCTGCCCTCGCAGGAGTGAGGGGAGGGTTCCCCAGGAGTCCCCACAGCCTGGCTGACATCCCAGCGTGCATCAGGACAGCCAACCTTGCAGTTCCCTCTGTAGGAGCCCCTGTCTGCCAGGTACCATCAGCGCTATGGTAATGGGGAGTGGGCCGGGCTTGGGGGCGCTGGGCTGCAGAGCTGAGTGGGAGCCGGCCTGAGAAGGCTGTCCGGGATAAGTGTGTGTTTTCACTTCAGGGGCCATCAGAATAATATCGTAGAATCACAGGGGAGGCCATGGGGTTCCAAGGACACGTCCGCTGGCCTCCTCCGCGGAACTGCCCCCTTGGTCGTTTCCTTACCCGTTGCCGCCCAGCACAGTAACAAAAGCTGCTGTTTACCGGGTGACCGTGAGCCAGGCGGTGCTCCGTGCCTCGCAGGCCTCCCGCTGTTCAGGCCGCACAACAACTCTGGGAAGTAGCGATTAAATATTATCACCATTAGATGTTACAGAGGAGGAGACCGAGGCTGGGAGGGGACCTGGTCACAGAGATAAGAGGCAGGGTCAGGATTCAAACCCACGTCTGTGGGCCGTAGCAGAGCGGCTTTGACGTGGCCTGTGCTCTTCACCACCAGGGACCTTGTCCTGGGTTCCTTGGCCTCTGCTGACAGGGCCTCAGTTTGGAAGCCGCAGGAGCCAGGCTGGGGGTGCTAGTGGACACGTGGACTTAGGGCAGCCCACTAGACTTCTTTCCTTGCTGGTGGCCTGAAAGGCTGTCAGGAGCTGTTAGAGGGAGAGAGAGATGGCTCGGCCTAGGACTCTAGTGGCCCTGGAGATGGTCAGGGATGGAGGGGTGGGTCTTCTCCAAGGTGGAGAGGCTCCCTCTGCTGGAAACTGTTGTCTGACCCATGGACAAGGCGTTACCACCTGCCAGTCCAGATCTACCCCAAGCCAGCGAGCCTGGAGGGAGAGCCGCAGAGGGATCGTTCTCTGGCCCTGACGGTGCCATGGTCACCCCTGCACCCTTGTGAAACTCAAACTGGTTGGAAGTGGGAGGGAGAGGTTCCGAGAACCAGGGAGCCTAGGCTGTGGGCGGAGTCCGGGCGTGCTGCCACGGAACGGACACGGGCTTCAGAGTCCGAAAGACTTGAACTCCAAGTACCACTTAGCCACTTACCAGCTGGTGACCTTGGGCAAGTACCTTAACCTCATAGCCTCAGTTTCCTCAGCTGTAAACGAGGAAGGTCGTGAGGATTACATAGGATAATGATGACATTAAGGCCAGGCACAGTGCGGAGTGCTGCATTCATTAGCTCAATTAATTCCCACAAAGCCCTTTGGTGACACTCCACTCTACATATAAGAGCCTTGAGGCTCAGAAAGGTCCAGTAACTCGCCCAAGGTCCCAGGCCAACTCTCAGGCTGAAGCATGTAACTTCCATGCTGTTCGAAGCCTGGAGATGGAGTTTCTTTACCTGGCTGCAATGCCCAGGGCCAGGGCTGGCTTCACGTGCTCTGATTTCAGCAGTGGGTGGGGAGGAAGGAACTCTAGCTCCATCCCAGAGGTTCGGAAGCAACTCGGTCAAACTCGGTTCCCCAGGGCCCTTCCAGAGCTCCTCACCTCTCGACAGCACTTAACGGTTTACAGAGCCTTTTTACCCACATTAGTTAGTGGGTCTTTCCAATAACCCTGTTTGCCCCCAGTTAACAGATGAGAAAGGAGGCAAGGGAAACTTAAGTGTCTTATTCAGGATCACACAGGTAGAAAATGGCAAAGTTAACCTTGAACCCATTCTGGTTCACCACAGTTGCCTTCAGAACCCTCTGGGGGAAACCACACACTATCTAACCCTAATATCATTGTCACCTCAGTGTGTGTGTGTGTGTGTGTGTGTGTGTGTGTGTATGTTTTCCTCTATTCAAAGAACAGATGTGTTTTACTTATTTATTTTTAACTGAGGTATAGTTGATTACAATATTATATAAATTTCAGTTGTAGGACATAGTAATCCACAATTTTAAATGTTATATCCCATTTACAGTTATTATAAAGTACTGGCTATATTCCCTGTGTTGTACAATATATCCTTGTAGCTTATTTATTTTTTTTGTTTTGTTTTGTTTTTGTTTTTGTTTTGCGGTACGTGGGCCTCTCACTGCTGTGGCCTCTCCCGTTGCGGAGCACAGGCTCCGGACGCGCAGGCTCAGCGGCCATGGCTCACGGGCCCAGCCGCTCCGCGGCATGTGGGATCCTCCCGGACCGGGGCACGAACCCGTGTCCCCTGCATCGGCAGGCGGACTCCCAACCACTGCGCCACCAGGGAAGCCCTTATTTATTTTATACATGGTAGTATGTACCTCTTAATCCCCTAACCCTATCTTGCTCCTCCGCCTTCCCTCTCCCCACAGGTAGCCACTAGTTTTTTCTCTATATCTGTGAGTCTGTTTCTTTTTTGTTATATTCACTAGTTTGTTTTACTTTTTAAGATTCCACAAGTAAGTGATATCATGCAGTGTTTGTCTTTCTCCGTCTGATTTATCTCACTTAGCATAATGCCCTCCAAGTCCGTCCATGTTGTTGCAAATGGCAAAATTTTATTTTTATGGCTGAGTAGTATTCCATTGTGTGTGTGTATATGTATATATATATAACACATCTTCTTTATGCATTCATCTTTTGATGGACACAAGAGCAGATTTATTTTCAAGTCTTTCAAAATTTGGTAATACTTGACTAAAAAGTTGAAACATTCTGTACAGAATTCCAAATAATTTATGTAGGTACTCCACCCCCAAGGAGACGAAGTATAACTCCCCACTCCTTAAGTGTGGGCTTCATATAATGACTTCCTTCTGAAGAGTGCAATATAGAAAGGGGGTAAAAAGAGGAACATAACAGTGGAGAAACCTGACAAACACCACCTCAGCCAGGTGATCAAGTCATGTGCGTAGGAGGTACCCTGAATATGATGTGAGGAGAATGGTACATCTTCCTCCCCAAAACCCATAACCCTCATCTCTTCAGAAAAACATCAGACAAATCCCACCTGAGGGACAGTCTACAAAATATCTGACCAACCCTCCTCAAAACTGTCTAGGTCATCAGAAACAAGGAAAACCTGAGAAAACTGTCACATTCGAGAGGAATCTATGGAAACATAATGACTAAATGTAATGTGGTGTCCTGAAAGGAATTCTAGACAGAAAAAGGATATTAGGAAAAAACTAAGGAAACCTGAATTAAGAATGGATTTTATTAATAGTAATGTATTAACATTCGTTCATTAATTGTAACAAATGTACTACACTCATGTTAATAAAAGAGGACACTGGGTATGGGGTACATGCAAACTCTCTGCATGACCTTCACAACTTTTCTGTAAATCTACGACTGTTTGAAAAAATTCAGTTTATTTTTTAAAAAGGCCTAAAGTTTCAAGAAGATACTTAGTGAAAAGTCTCCCTCCCACCCTTCATCAGCTGCTCAGTGTTCTTCCCTAAAATACTGTCATGTCTCTTTCCAGAAAGGGGCTGTGAGGCAGCATGGCTTGGTGTTAAGAGTCTGGCCCCTACAACTGGAATGGCTGGCTCTCAATCTTGATCTCTGTCCGTTTCTAGCTGTGTGAACCTGGGCAATTCCTAACCCTCTCTGTACCCTGTGTCCTCAAAGATAAAATCCTCATAGGATTATTGGGAGTTAAATGTATTAATGAATATAGTAAGCACCTTACAAGTGGTTGCTTTCATTATCACAAATAAGCAAGCAAACATATCTATGCAACAAATATGTTAAGAAAAAATACCCAAAACTTGTAAATAAGGCACACCAAAAAATCACTGAGTGCCCTTTCAAAGATATTTTAGATCATTGGCTAATAACCCCACCTATGGGTCATTCAGGGGAAGTAACTAAGTTTGCTATACGATTTACTATTGATTAGTGAGCAGACTGTAAAGTTAAGAGGTTAACTTGTAGAAGATTGATAAATAGCAAATTATTTTTGTGTGGTAAGAAAAAAAAACAGTTATGGTTTTATTGCCAGGTAGGAATTGATATTTTTGTATCTATCTTTGCAATCTTATTCAAGCATTCTTTTTTCCCCTGAATGTCTATAATAGTTTTCATTTCTTCCTTTGATCCATCCGGCTGGTTTGCTCATTAAGTAGTTAATAAATCTTGGTACTCACTACATATCTGTATTAGTCGAGTTTATCTTGGTGCAGATTGTACTTTGACAGATAGTAGCATGCCATACACACTGTTCCACCCCTTGTTTGGGGGTTTTTTTCACTTAATACATCTTGAAGATAGTTTCACATGAGAACATAAAGAGCTTCCTTACTCTTGTTTTGCCACTGTATAGAATACATCATACGGGTGTGCAGTATTTACACTCAGAATCAATTTAGCCAGTCCCCTTTTGATGGACACCTAGGCTGTTTCCACCCTTTTACTGTTGCAAACAATGCTGTATGAATAACCTTGTACACAGGCTGAGAGTACAGTCACTTAGACAGAGGTGGATGGGAAGGCAGAAGGGGCTCTAAAGGGCAAAGGAGCCTCAGGGAGGGGCCTGATTACCTAGTCCCAGCCCGGCCTATCCCTTCGTCCCCTGGCTCTGTGCCAGCCTGGCCTCCTCCTGCCTCCTCCTCTCCATCCTGAGCTCCTGGTATCTCCAGACAGGAAGGGACAGCCTTCGATTCCCTGCAGACCTGGGCTCTGGCTTCCACTGAATGCCAGATGAGGGTGCCTTGGAGAGGAGGATCTTAGGGGCTTGGGGCCTGGGGCTGGTACTATCTCTGGGCTGGAGCCACTGATAGCACATGCTCAGTACACCCTGAGGGCTCTGGTAGGGGATGAAGACCCGGGGGCCAGGGACTTCCTGGGGGAGTTGGGGTACTGGGGGAGGGGGTGGGGCAGTGCCTAGCAGCTCTGGCACAGACTTGCTTCGAGTGCCCAGTGCAGGTGGGTGGTCAGGGCACAGGGTGTGGCAGGCAGTGGTGAGGAAAGGACTCGCCAGGCTGGTCGTGACGGTCACAAGGTGGTCCAGGACACCCCCCTCCTGAGGAGACTGCGCGAAGGGGAGGCTCAAGGTGGCCTGAAGTCGTTCTAGGAAAGACGGGGCGGCCTGAGCCTGGGCCTGTGCCACAAGCCCGGGCAAGGCTGGCCACTCAGGCTGGTAATGATGGCTGAGCTGCTCCACTTGGGGCCGCCGCAGCAGCTGCTGGATCCTTTGCACCGTGTCGAAGCTGTCGGTCAGAAATGCCCACTCCAGGGCTGTCTTGCCCCTGACAGGATCCACTGCAGTCAGGTCGGCACCTGGGGACAGGTACGGGGTGACATGGGGTAGGACAGGGATTGGTGACTTGCAGAAGGGCAGATTCTTTAGCAGCAGGACTGATTGGGGTTACATGCAAAGCCACAGAGTCCCATCCTGTTGCAGCTGGAAGCTGGGGCCCCTCTGTGGCTACAGCCCAGAGACAGTACCAGTCCCAGATCCCAACTTCCGGTTTAGGACCGATAGAGAAATTGGGGTCCAGCGAGGGGAAAAGACTTCACAGAGACCTACTGTGTGTGTGTCGGGGGGGTATCTCCAAAGCTGGAGAAGAAGAGACCTCCTGAGCCAAGGCACTGACCAGAGGGCTGGTGTGACGTTTGCCCAGGATGGGTGGGGAGCGAGATGTACCCTCTGGAGCAGGTGGAGCGGGGATTCTCATGGTTCCCACTCCTGGTTCTTCTCTGCACCACCACACACCCCTAATCCTGGGCGCCAGGGGAGTGGCAGTCACTCTGAGACAAAGGAGGGGGTGTAGAGCTTCCTCCCTTCTCACCCCAAACCCAGTGTGACGGGATGGGAAAGGGAAAAGCTGGAGGCTGGGGTCCCCCAGAGTGAACAACAGAGGGCAGCCCCACCTCAGGGAGTAATGAGGGCCTGAGACTCCACAGACAGTGTGGACTTCACCCCAGAACAACTCTACACGGCCACACGTCTCAACTACCCATCACTGCATTCCTGGAACCCTGGCTCGTCAGAGCTGGAGATCAGCCCAGAGAAAGCCATCACTCTCATCTTACACTGGTGAGGCCCAGAGAGGGAAGCTGTTTGCCCACGGTCACTCAGCTGGGGGCAGAGCCGGAATGAGAACTTAGGAATCTGGTTCCAGTTACCAGCCTTCTTTATATTAGGTTCTCCAGCTGGTCTAGGTTACCCTCCCAAGCTTTCTTTTCTGGGACCGCCATTCGCAATGCAAATAGAGCTATCAATAGCTGGACTTTGTTGCTTGTGAGAAGCCCCAGCACACTCCCCTCCTCCAGGAAGTCAGCCTGGATTGATCTTCCATCTCCACCTCTCTCCTCATTGCAACTATGACAGCTGATTTAGTGTCTGGTGGGGAGGCGTGGGGGAGGGACTGGAGACCACACATCCTGGTTCAGGCCCCATGCACCTGCCATGAGGAGGGCAGCCACGCATTCGGAGCGGTCCCGCATGGCGGCCTTTATCAGCGCAGTTAGCCCCCGCTGGTCCCGGCGCTCCAGGTCAAGGCCAGCATAGTAGTTGATCAGGAGACTCACCAGAGGCACATGGCCTGCAGGGCACCAAGGGCAGAGCTTAGCTACCCAAGAAAGGGATGACAAAGCCTCAAACACCCTCCCCCCAACAAGGCAGCATCTGGGGTGGGAGAACGTCGGTGCAAAGAGTGTGGGACTGTGGCCGGGTCTGGGGTGGGGGGGTGATGGGGTTTGGTAAAGGGTGGGGTTAGCAGCCTCTCACCTGCTTGGGCAGCCAGCATGAGGGCTGTGTCTCCTTCTTTGTCCTGCTGGTTCACATCCAGGAAAGGACAGCGGCTGAGCAGGGCCACAACACTTTGGAAGCCGTGGTAGCATGCGACCATGAGGCCTGTCTGGGGGAGGGACAGCTCAGCCCCGGTGCTTTCCTCCATGAGCTCGCTGGGGGTGCCCTGTGCCTTCTACCCCACAACTGTCCCAGAGATGCTCCAGCCCCTGTGAAGACCCACTCTCACCCACTCCCTTCCTCCTGAGGACCCAGGCTGTGGCTGTTGACCCTGAGACTCTCTAAGGACGAGTGTGGCGTGGTGAGGACACAGAGCGCCCCCTGCTGGCCTGTGAAGCACCCAGGGTAGCTCACCCTCCCATTGCTGTCCACCTGGGTGGCCTCCTCTGGGGAGACCCCATCATCCAGCATGGCCTGGAGCTGGGCAGTGTCATTGTGGAAACAGGCCCAGTACAGGGCGCCCAGCACGCAGCTTGGGGTAAAGGTCTCGTGGTCGGGGCAGGACAGGGTCTCAGCGACGTCCAGCCCTCCCTTCTGCAGTGTCGGTTCCTCCTCTTCCATCCTGGGGGCAAGAAGGTGAGTCTCCCCTCCTCACGCAGTTGGCATCTATAACACAGAATGAAGGGAACAGTCTCCCTGGATTCCGGGAGGGGTCCCAGCAGCTGGCCCTGGGGAGAGCTTTTGCCCGCTGGAGTCTCCCGTCGCATCCACCTTGGAGAGAGGACAAGCCCCTGGCAGGGAGGCCGAAGGGCAAGAGCCCTAAGAGGGCCGAAGTCGTTCACTGCAAGTGAGGGTCCTAGCGAGAGTCAAGGAAGAGAGGCGGTCTTCTCTTTCCCATGGGACCTTACCTGGGGTTTGGAGGGTCCCTAGGAGGCAGTCATTGCTGGGGCCCAGCCTGGAGCCCACAGCATCCCCCCAGACTCCTGGGAGCACACACACCGGGTCTCTGGAGTGTCTCGAGGTGGACTAACAGCCCCAGGAAGCAACGCAGGTAACAGATGGCGCGACTTAACAGAAAAAGCTGCCTCAGACACCTCGGGGCTGAGCCGGATCAAGCCGGGCTTGTTAGGGATCGGGGGGCGGGCGGGGACGCTGCTCTCCTCTCCAAGCCGACCAACACGCGCCCCAAGAGCCTGGCCGGGGTGGGCGGGGCCGGAGTCAGGGCGGCTCCTCCCCCGCGGAGGCGGCTCTGAGAGTAAGACCCGCCTCTCTGCCGACGCGCTCACCTTCGGCCTTCTGGGGAGACTAGCTGCCATAGAACCAGACCCTTCGACCATGGAAGCGTTGCCAGGTTTCGGAACTCGGCCCCCAAAGCTGAAGTCCCTTCCTCCTTGGTGGAGCAGGGCTTAGTGAGGGGGTGGTGGTGGGGTGGGAGAGAGTGCAGGTGAAGACATCTCACTAAATAGGGACTGGGACGGAGGTGGGGTGCCAGGGGTCACCTGAATCTATTTTTTGAGGTTCTGGGAAAATTAAAGTATAAAGAATTGCTTAATTAGGGGTACAAAAATCAAGATATATTAAGTTTAATGGATTAATCTGGTGTGGTAAATTAAATATGAAATATTTAAATTGTGTTAATACTTAAATAAATCATTTAAATTAAACCATTTATTTACAATTATTTATTAAATTAATAAATTATTATTAAAGTATTCTTTAAGTTAAATTACTATTAAATATCAAACTTAATGAATTGGGTTTGGACCTCAGGTGTAGAAAATGGAGCCAATCATATTGCTCTACTTATATCACTCCCACTATCAGACTGTACAAGATCTCTCTCTTGTTTTATTTTACTTCATTTGGTTTATCTCTTTCATCCCTGATCCCCACAGCCCATCCTCCTCCTTTCCTTTACCAATTGACACATATATCCTTGAAAATGTACACTTCATTGAAAAAGGTAGTGTTGATTTGTGTCCGTCTTAAGTAACACCTTAGATTGTGCTACAGAGCTCATCGTGTTTGTTCCTTTTACTCAGCGTTATGTTTTGGGGATCTGGCCTTGTTGCGTTCTGTGCAGTGCGCCAGTCATGAGTGCCTTTGGTTGTAAGTAACCAAAAGCTGACCTCAGTGGTGTTGGTGGCTGCCACATTCTGGCAGTTCAACATCCATCCAAAACTACAGAAGCTGGAAAGCTAAAATGACACCTCCCAGGTTCTTGTGAGCTAGGAATCTGTGGTTTAGTTCCTGCTCTTGCGTGAGGCATAAGTCTGGAATAGAACTAAGTAGCATGGGGCATCCGTTTTGCTGTCACAGGTCATGACAGATGCAGGAGGGTCCTGGTGAGCAGCTTCCTGATTCATCAGCTTCCTGTAGTAGTGACTGTTGTTTTCCCCATCATAGACAGAGGTCACATGCCTCCCAAAGCTGGGAGTTGTTCCAGGACCTAGAGCCTGCTTCTCCATTTAAACTAGCCAGATTTATTTCTGTTGTCTGCAATTGAACCCTAACTGACACATGTGGCTTAAACAAATAGAGGTTTATTCTTCATACAGGACAAAAAGTTCAGGCATAAGAAGCTGTTGGTGTTGACTCTATGCTGTCAGGGCCTTCTCTAGGAGTCTCTTGACTTTTCCTCATGGTCACAAGATGACTGCTGTACCTGTAGCCATCACAGTAAAATGTGGTGAGTGCACACTATGGACTCTAGGCAGCAGTTAGAAGAAATCTACCAGGTTATGTGTCAGAAATCACTGATGAGATGATAGAATCCCTATCCATAACTTCCCTTCTCTCTAGTCACCCTTTATTATAGTTTGGTGTGACCAGGTGACACAATTTTGGCCAATGAAATGCAAGCAGCAGTCTGATGGGTGAGGCTCCGGAAAACAATCTTTGCTCTCTTGATAAAATATGTGAGGTGTACCTTTTAACCTCTTTCTTTCTTCCCTCTTATTCCTGCTGAATAGAATTCCATAGTGTGCACCCAGCACATTTTACTTATCTACTCTTCCAGTGATGAACACCCGTGTTGCCTCCAACTTCATGCCATTGCAAGGAATGCTGCAGTGAGCATCCTTGTACATATCTAGGTGTAGACCTGAAAGAGAGCATCTCTGAGACTGCTAGGTCCTAGGGAACATACATACTTATTGACCAGGTACTGTCTGATTGCTCCCTATTTTGCAGTGCACCCACCAACAGTGCATAAAAGTCTCCCAAATCATTACAAACCCTCGTACTTATTCGGCCTTCTAATGTTTGTCAATCTGATGGTACAGAACTATAAGGGGCTATTGCTATCTTACATTGGATTTTTCTGGTTATCAACAAGGTGAGCATCTCTCCACATACCTGATAGTCATTCTTGTTTCCCCTCCTGTGAATCACCTGTTCATAGCCTGGGTCCAATGTTCTATTAGAATTTCCTGTCTTTTTCTTATTGAGTTTTCAGGAATTCCTTTTAATATTCTAGATAATACACCCATTGTCAGATGGGTTTTAAAGGTGGCAACTGTAGCATAAACCTTTCTGTTAGCTTTATCTGTGGTGAACTTCATCGAAAGAAATCCTGAATTTTGATGTGGTTAAATTCATAAAAAATCTCCTTATACTTTGTGCTTTTGGGCCTTGCTTAAGAAGAATTTCCCACTCCAAGATCACAAGGATCTTCATCTCTCATTACTCTTGCAGTTTTATTTTTAATATTTAGTTTTTAATCCATCTGGAATTTACTTTTATATATGGTGTGAGGAAGAGAGCTGTTATGAACTGAATTGTGTCCCCCTACAATTCATATGTGGAAGGCTTAACCCCCAATGTGGCTGTATTTGGAGACAGTGATATTATGGAGGTACTTAAGACTAAGGGAGTTCATAGGGGGCCCTAATCCAATAGGACTGCTGTCCTTTTAGAAAAGGGAGAGACACCAGAGCACGCTGTCTTTCTCTTTTTCTCTCCTCCCTTCCCCCACCCCTGTGTGAGCACAGTGGAAAGACCATGTGAGGATACAGTGAGAAGAGGCCATCGACAAGCCAAGGAGAGAGCTCTCACCAGAAACCAACCCTGCTGGCATCTTGATCTTGGACTTCCAGCCTCCAGAACAGTGAGAAAATAGATTTCTATGGTTTAAGCTTCCCAGTCTGTGGTATTTTGTTATGGCAGCTCAAACAGACTAATACAAGATCCAGTCTTTTCTCCAACTAGTGAAGTAACCCCATCTATTAAACAATTCTCTTTCCCCTGATTTGTAGCATCATCTTTATCATATATAAACTTCAAATGTTCTTTAATGTTTTATGTTGTGTTTGAGTTCTTATATCATTTTACTAGACTGTTCCAGTGCTGATGCAACACTGACTTTATTACTCCAGCTTTGTAGTATGCCTGACTACCTGATAGGGTGAGTTCTCCATATTTCATCTTCTTTTTCAAAATTGATTTTTATTCTTTTTATTCTTTTTATTCTTTCATATAAAATTGCAGGACTTCCCTGGTGGCGCAGTGGTCAAGAATCTGCCTGCCAACGCAGGGGACACGGGTTCAAGCCCTGGTCTGGGAAGATCCCACATGCCGCGGAGCAACTAAGCCCATGTGCCACAACTACCGAGCCCGCGAGCCACAACTACTGAGCCCGCGTGCCACAACTGCTGAAGCCTGCACGCCTAGAGCTGGTGCTCCGCAACAAGAGAAGCCACCGCAATGAGAAGCCTGTGCACCGCCACAAAGAATAGCCCCTGCTCGCCACAACTAGAGAAAGCCCGCGCGCAGCAACGAAGACCCAACACGGCCAAAAAAAAGAAAAATTGCAAATAAGTTTGTTGAACTCTTTAGAAAAAATTTGCTGGCATTTTGATAGGAATTGCATTGAATTTATAGATTAATTTGGAGAAAGTTGACTGCCTCACAATGTTAAATTTTCTCCTCCACAAACACGGTATATATCCATTTTCCAGGTTTTCCTTTATGTTCTTCAATAGTGTTAAATTTTCTCCAGCAAGGTCTTATACATTCATTGTTAGGTTGATTCCTAGATTCTTTATAGTTTTTCTTGCTATTGTAATGAAAGTCTCATATTTTTGTTTTTGTTTTGCTTTTTGTTGACGTAGAGTTAATTTTTTCTTTCTCTTTCTTAGACCTCATATATGCTGGATCAGATTAAT